AGGTACAGAAACTTGATTAATACTCATAGAAACACTATCGTATAAAATAAACCAATAAACGATTCAATATTTCGTCCTGTCAGCATGATAGTTAACTTTTATTTAAACGTTCTTACGTGCTAGCGCTGTGTGACTGTGGTGGCCGTATACGTAATACACGTAATATGACAGAATCGCGCTAATAATAAATAATGAATTATTTGTTTATTTGCCATATAAACTTTGCTGACTCTTTATCTGTCTGTATACATACATAGCTTAGCTCCACGTTGACCTGTTTTATATTTAATGTTTGCAGATGACTAAGACAGGTAAGCCAGACAGCTACTGGAGGGACATTTGTTTTAAATATGCCCAGGGCCAATTCCAGTTCTCAACTGGCAAACGGCCAGGGGCCAAGAAATGGAAGAAGGCCTTGGAGAGAATCGATGCTTGCCCCTTGCAGAACCGTACAAATGTAAAGGATCTGTTTGGGAGAAGCCTTCAGTGCTCCTGTGGGTTCCACAAGGTAGGTGAAACTGTTTTATTAATTGCCTGTTTGCTGCTTTGTTTGTTTGTTTGTTTTTTCCTCTGGTGGGCTTTGGTGGTTTTGCAGTAATACCAAGCCTATTTGTTTTTTTGTGCATGTCCAAATGCTGTCAACATTATTCATCATTCTATTTTAAGTCATGATGAGTCACTGTAGCATATGGATTTATTTATTGTACAATAATTTATCTGTACAGTTCTGGAGAAAGCTAGTAGTGTAGGATTATACTGTTCATGTTGCATGTAGCACAGCCCTATTTCTGTACAACTCCCGCCCCCAGCCAGCAGCTCTGTCATCAGGCCCTGGGTCCAGTGAGACAGCAGGAGTTGAGACAGAGGCAGGGCCAGTCCGAGTCAGCGCTGAGGTAGAGAGAGGAGGCATGGAGACAGGTAGAGGAGACACTGAGACAAGGAGAGGAGACATGGAGACAAGGAGAGGAGACACAGAGACAAGGAGAGGAAACCCCGAGACAAGGAGACAAGACAGAGATGCAGGGGGTGTCCGTGTCAGCACAGAGGCAGAGAGAGGAGACACAGTGAGAGCATCAGTGGCAGGACAGGAAGTGGAGTGCTACAAGTGCAAGCAGCTTATTAAGGGAGACAAATTTTCAGAGCACCTGTCTGACCACCATACAGAGGAGATGTGTGAAACCTGTGGGGCCAAGGTTCAGGGTACTGTTGGGCTTTTGAACCACATCCAACGGGTTCACTATGCGGCACTAAGCACAACTACCACAAAAACAACGCCATCTTTGCTCTCTCCAAGTAGCTCTGCCACTCCACACCACGCTGCAGCTCCATCAGCCTCAAGGCCAAAAGCCACTGCAGTCAACTGGCAAGGCTTTCTGCCCCAGCAATTTGGGAGGGTGATTCAGGAAGCAGATCAGGTGTGGATTGCCAAACGCCTGTATGAGCATACAGGCCAGCTGAAGCAGAGGTTCCAAGCCTGCTGGTTTCACCCCCCACTGGAGCCCAAACCATCTCCTCCCGAGCCTGGGTGGTACTACCGGCAGAGGCTGTTCATCTGGGCACCAATGAGGATGTGGGGGATTCCTTTAACCTCCTGAGACCCTGTGTCCTCATAAGTGGATGTTGCATTTTTGTCTCTCTTAACCATGATACTTCTTTTTTTCTTTCAGCTTTGACCTCTTGACCTCATAGCAGATGCTACCAGACACTGTTTGAAATCTAAAGTAAAATGGTTTTATACATTTCCATCCAATCATGTTCTTATTGTGTAATAGAAAAAATGTAAATAAGTCAAAATTGTAAAAACATTTAATTAAATATGTATCTCATATATCTTTAAAAAAAAAGCTAAAATGCGTGCCAAATAAAAGCTCGGGTCTCAGGAGGTTAAAATGCCAAAAATGTTCCCGGAAAATGAACAGCTCTGGGATCTACAGAAAGGTGAGGGAGGTGATTGATGTGGACAGCCGCTACTACCTAGTGGGAGGGGACTATCCAGGTTGCAGCAAATGCTCTCAGCCGGTCTGCCCATGGAGCCAGGACATCCTCTCCCAGGTGGATGTGGCACACAGGAGCTGGTTCCCCGCTGTCCTCACTGCACAGCTGTCTCTGGACACAAAATGCATCACTTTCCTGAAGCCAAGGACAAGTGGCAACAGTTCCTCCTACCTCCAGTCTGGATTAAAGGAAGCGCACAGCCAGGAGTGGGCACGACAGACCAACCGCTACCTCTCAGACTGTGAGCGCCACATGAAGATGGCTACCTTCATCCCCCCCCACCACCACCCTTCAGGCCCCTTCCGCTTGCTCAGTGGCCACACTCTTAACAGTCACAACCCATCCATTAAGTTCTGTCTACATGTGGGTCCTCTCCCGGTGCTGCAGCTTCCTCCACAGTGAAATTAAATCCATGTGCATTAATGAGTGAGTCTAAACTGACTGCAGCAGCTTCAGTCATTCAAACCACTGATAACTGTACAGGCTGTACTTTTCATTCAGCTGAAGAGCCTCTTACAATTTCCTTAGAGCAGCCTTTTGAACTCTTTATCTGGATGAAAATCACTTGCTAGTTCAAAAACATGTTTACTTATTGCTAATGGAACAACAAGTACACTAAAGCACAACAACACACAGGATCATGATTTCATTT